GTACTCCGGGGAGGTATTGAATGCCCAGCGAGACCTTTTCTGGCCATCAGCCTGGTCCCTGGCTCAGGCTGCAGCGGTGTAGAGCCCAGGGGAGCTCACTGCCCAGGAGCTAGCCTTGGCCGTGATGGCAGATAGGGCACGTCAGGAAAAGCCACGCTGGTGCAATCTCCTCTGTACCCACTTATTTCCAGGTAGCCTGTTTAAAGGGAACATCTCATAAGCAAGAAAATATTTTTTATACAGAAGAAAGCTCATTGTTTGTGGGGTTGTCTCATCTGATGGTCTCTTCTACTAAAGCCTCCTGGGTTGCAAAGTACTCGGGAAATATGAGCATCCCTCTTGGAGACACAAACATGCAGAGCAAGGAAAGCACGTGCAGCTGGGAGTCAGTGGTGGAAGGTTGTGGCTGTTAGATCTTATACATTTGCATTCAACTATCCTGTCTGGCTGCCAGGCAAACTGCAACTGGAGAAATACATTGTTCAGTTTGTGGAGCAGGACAAGCTGAAACAGTTTTGGGGGCTGTGTGGCCCCAAGCCTGTGTTGTTGTCCAGTTTGATGGGCAGCCGCCCATGGCAGCATCACACAGGCTGGGGATGGAATGGGGAGGATGTCAGAAGAAGAAAGTATTTGTAATTTCTCTTCCTGAAAGGCTGGAGCAGACAGGGCCTTTCCTCAGAACTGGGAATTTCTAGGCTTAAAGCACCTTCTTCCCACTGACCCCCATCGCACTTGCTGATGCTGTTAAATTCTCCAAGCTGTGGCCAGCAGCACAAGAGAACAGTGCTGGAGCTGTTAATATTTCACCTCCAGCTATCTTTTATTTCCCAAGCCACAAATCCTTCTACTTCCACAAAAATCAGCTCAGGAACTGGGTCTTGGTGACCAAAATATCTGTGAGCTTGTGCAGAAAGAGTAAAGCAGGGAGCTGGGGCTCTTCTAGACCCAGGGAGGCAGCGACTTCTGCTTGCCCTTGGCTGCCTGCCTCACATCACGGGGGAACACAGGGTCCACCCAAGTGCCCTCTGAAACACAGGGCTCCTCAGCAAGTGATTTGCAAAGATCCCCAGTGAGGGCTGAAGCTGCTTAAAAATCCAAAGACCTCAACAAAAAATGTAATTGGGGTATTTTTCATATTCTGGTGCAGCCCTCTGGGAACAGCAGAGGTGAGCAGGTAAGTGGGGAATTACCACTGCATCTGAGCCTGGGGAGAGGGGCTGACCTGGTATCTCCCCCACCACCCCGGCACGGCAGAGCACAGACCCTGTCTCCTCACATCCCAGCTCTGCATCTCACATCTCAGCTGCTCTCATGTGTCCTGCTCATCCCTGTTCAATTGTATTTTATTTGCTGTGGTCACAATAATTTTCTTGGCTCATTGCTTCAGAGACACCCTCCTCACAACCCCACGCTGGCTTTTCTTGGTGCATTGAGCATCATTTGTCTCTGGTTTCCAGTCCCTTCGCTGTCTGGTTACCTTTTCCCTGCACTGTTGAGTTATTAAATTCTGCCTCTGCTGCTTTGCATCATCCTCTTGATAAATTCTCCATCAGGCACATCTGATTTTCTCCCATTGTGCTTATCGGACTGGAAGGAGGATTTTGCTCTCAATGTTTCCCACTGTCCTTCCCATCTCTGCAAGCCATGATGCCTGTGGAAATTAGATATCAGTCAGGTGAATGGTCCCTTGGTGTCTCCGTACATCACACTGACCTGTGTGCTGTGCTCTCCTCTTGCCTGTATCCAGTTGCTGCCCAATTTTGCCTTGAACTTTAGGTGCAGGAACCAGCATTTTGTTTAGGATCTAAAGCAACTCCCTTCACCAAGGGCTCCAGCAGGACAAAGGAGTAAATTCTTCCACTGCTCCTTAGAGCAGCGTGGAATAGAAAAGTTTTTTCTTCTAGGAAAAGGGGATATTTTGTGGCCTGTAGAAAACAAGGAAGTCCTTCTGATGGAGGATAAGAGAGGCAATGGAAGGCAAAAGCTTGAGGTCTGGGGTCATTGGCCTGGCTGTTACAGCATGGCTGAGCTCATTTGATACCATGATTTATTCCAACTGAAAATGAGGTTTAAGGCATTGCCAGCTCCCCGGGGAGTGTACACACACTTCTTTTGTTCATCTGTTTTCTCAGCTCTTGTTGAAACTTGTAAATGAAACATCCTCCTCTGCCAGCACTTGTCTCTTTGATCTTTCATAAAAAGTGTGTGAAGCTTTTTACCAGAAACCATTGCAGCAGCGTTCCTGCTCTGAAGGTTGGTCAGCAATAACCCATGAGGCAATACGAAAGGGCACACCTTCTACTGGGAAAAACCTATCTGGGGAGGCCGTGTCCCCTTCGCATGTGGCCCCGCTGTGATTAGTAAAAGCTTCAAACTCATTTTCTTTCTCTCTCTTTGCAGGCAAAAATGTCAAGGCCAGTGCAAGCTCGGAGGCTGGAGGGAATAGAGAAGAATATCTGGTGAGTTAAGAGAATATCTGGTTTACCCTGGTGGTAGATGTGGTTTTAGGCAGCCTAACACCACATAGAAACCGCTGCAGCCACACAGCACAGAGCAGAAATCTCCCTCGGCTGCTTTGCATCTGCTCAGGAAGCGCATCGGGGCATGTTTGTCCCAGGAGATTTTACCCTGGCTCAGTTCTGTACCTGCTGCTCATACTTTATGCCATATCAGGTCCCCATCCTGCAGGAAGGCAGGCAGGAGCACCTTGTAGTGCACTGCACTCCATCCGACCCACCTGCCTGGATGATCCCAGCAGCACCCAAATCTGAGCCAAGTGGTTGCAGCACACTGGCTGCAGCCTGGCATCTGCTTCGAGCCCACCCTAGGGCACTGCAAGCAGAGAGGCACATGAAGAGATGCTACAAATGCCGTTCCCAGCCTGCCAGGCACAGTATGGCACTGGGAAAACTGCATGCTTGAAGAAGATATTTAAATGGGCTTTCCCCAAAGCCCTGCTGTACCTAGTTTCAAGCTACAAACTGCTGAGGAGCTGGCTCTTGGGTGAGAAAAGTGCTGAGTTCAGCCTGCCTTTCCCTCTGCAGATGCCTTCACCATGTCTAGTTGATAAATTTTGCAGAACTGGTATAAATTTGAAAACCTCTGAGACCTCCCCTGCTCAGTCTGGTCTGATCAGAAGCAGTACATGGCCTTGGCTGGGACCACACACCCAGACAGCACAAGGGCTGTCTCCTTCAAGAACAAATTAAAACCACCCCCAGGGCAATCGTAGCTCATCCTTGTTTTAATTGAAATGGGTCTGAAATGACCTGTGCTTGGTCCTGTCCACCTGTGAGCAGCAGGATGGCTCTGCAGGAGGGACACCAGCCTCACTCACTTCCAAAGGGATGCTGGCAAGCAGAGCTGGTGCCAGCGTGCTGCCTGGACCCTCTGTAAATCTTCTCTTTCTCTCCCTTTCTTCTCTTCAGGGTGGAGTTTGTAAAACTGGCTGCCACCTACTCCACAGTGAACCTGGGCCAGGGCTTCCCTGACTTCCCCCCACCGGATTTTCTGAAGGAAGCATTCACAAGAGCCCTCAGCGGGGAGAACCACATGCTGCACCAGTACACTCGTGGCTTCGTGCGTGGACAGACCCCTCCTCCTTGGCAATGGCCCCCTCACTCCCTGTTAGCCTTGGCCACTTCAGGGCTCATCAGGCAGTGATAAACAGGGCAAACCACATGATGCAAAACATGCATCAAGCCTCAGCCCGAGCCCCCTGTGCCCAGGGCTGTGACACCCTGCTTCACCAGGGCATTTGAAGCAGCCAGGCTGGAAGATGACCCACACACTTGGTCACAGGGTGCTTGGCTGCCCAGGCCCCTCCCAAGGGCTCATCCATGTTTTAAGAGGCTTCTGCAACCCAATTCCCACCACTCCTCTCACCCCACAGGGACACCCACCTCTGGTGAAGATCCTGGCACAGTTTTTTGGGAAGCTGCTTGGACGAGACCTGGATCCTATGACCAATGTGATGGTGACTGTGGGGGCGTACCAAGCCCTTTTCTGCTGCTTCCAGGCTTTTGTTGATGCAGGTGATGAGGTAAGCCAAGATTTGGGCTTGTTACACAGGCAGCCTTCCCCCAGGAGAGCCCTTCCTGGCTGTAAGTCTGCCAGGGGTAGGTTTATATAGTCCTTTTGCAAAGCAGAAAATGTTTTATCCCCATTCTCCAATATTTGAGCTTCCAAAGGAAAAAAACTCTCTCCTGCAGGGCACTGTCTCATTTCTGCATAAGCCAAAATAACCCTTTTGCCCAGTTGTTTTTCCCTGACACTGCCCACTGGCAATGCAAGTTCTCCTTTACAATAATTCATGGATTAAAAGTTCCTGTCCCTCCCATTGCTCTCTGCACCCACCAGGGAAGGGCTGAGCAGTGCCAAGAGGGTTCTGAAGTGTCCCTTTCTTCCAGGTGATAATCATTGAGCCTTTCTTTGACTGCTATGAGCCAATGGTGAAAATGGCTGGTGGGACATCTGTGTTTGTTCCTCTGAGACCGGTGAGTGGGTCAGACCAAAGCTCTCCAGGAGGGAAACATAGCAAAGTTAGTGAAGAAGTGAGTGGTAAGCAAGGTACAGCAGTAGCAAAGCAAGCCAAGATTCCCTTCTGTTCTCTCTAGAAAGCTCCAAAAGATGGAAAATTGATGTCTAGTGCAGACTGGCAGCTGGACCCAGCTGAACTGGCTTCTAAATTCAGTGAACGGACAAAAGCCATCGTACTGAACTCACCTAACAACCCTCTGGGCAAGGTAATGCCTCTGGCCTTGCTGTGGCTGGTCCTGGAAGTGGCTGGGGTGCTACAGCTCACCCAGCCACGTTTGCAGCCTAGCAGCGACCCGACTATCCTCGCACACAAGGGCAGAGGGTGTTGTAGGAATGCCACATGCCACACACGCTCTTCTGGGTTTTAAAGTCTGGGTTTTGTGCCAGCAGTGGCTTTGCCCTGTTAGACCACTGCAGCCAGCTCCTGTCCACTCTGGCTTGGGAGATGGGGCAGGCAGGGTGTGCAGCCTTCACAGAGAGGCAGGGACAGACAAGAGCCCAGAAATGCTCTTGCTGCACCTCTGCTCCGCTCCCTGCCTGCTGCAGGTATTCAGCCGAGGAGAGCTGGAGCTCATTGCAGACCTGTGTGTGAAGCACGACGTCCTGTGCATCAGCGACGAAGTGTACGAGTGGCTGGTCTACGATGGGAAGGAGCACATCCGCATCGGTACGGAGAACGGCTTGTCTGAGCTTGGGTGTTCTCTCTGAATACAGGATCTTTAGGGAAGGAACTGCTGGTTTATCTGGGGTCCCCTGGCAATTACATGGGCTGCTTGCCTGCACAGCTCTACCAGACATGTATCCATGTTAGAGATATTTTCTGCACTTCAGTCTCAGCCTCCAAGTCAGGACTTAAACTGGAGCCCTGACTTCCAGAGCCAGTCAGAGGAATCAGAGAGCTGGCTTCACAGCATGAGATCAGAGCAAAGAGCCCTTTGGCTCCAGTGAAACTGAGGGGTTTTTTTCCCATACTTTGTAAAACCACAGTTTTCTGGGTGTCTCTAGCTTTGGAACATCCATTTCAACATGATTTCAGAAGCCTGTTCTTCCTGTTGCAGTTACCTTGTTACAGGGTGAAGGTGCTCGGCACCTCTGGGAGCCCCTGAGTCTGGGTACATGGGAATGAAAACACTAAATTACAAAGAGATGCTCTTGAGAAACCTGGCTGCCTGCTTGGGGTGTGCTTTGAGGCTTATCCAGGTGAAAGACGTGCTGCAAACACAAGAGGCCACCATGGGTTATGGTGGGCAAAGAGCTCCCACCTTGTTATTAAAGCAGCAAGCATGGTGAGCTCTGCCATCAGTGTTTCTCTTTCCTTTTGTTGCCAGCCAGCTTGCGAGGGATGTGGGACCGCACGGTGATCATTGGGAGTGCTGGGAAAACCTTCAGTGCCACTGGATGGAAGGTGAATTCCCCTGCATGGCATCTTGCTGTCACCCCATCCCTTTGCACCAGGGCATGGGTCCCATTGCCATAGCACAGCACTGGGGACACTGCTGCCAAACACCCAGCTTTGAGTCAGGTCTGAAAGTACCAAAGCTGCTTTGTGATAGCCCTGACTGGAAAATACAATGAAGCCAGCACAGGCAAATAAAGGGGAGCCCAAGGTACCCAGAGACTTACCACCTTCCTCCTCCTCTCCTGGCCACAGGTGGGCTGGACCGTGGGACCCAACCGGCTGCTGCAGCACCTCCGTACTACGCACCAAAACTCAGTGTACCACTGTGCCACAGTTGCCCAGGTAAGGTGGCTCCTGGCAACTGGCCCTGCAATTCCCAAGCCCCCAAAGCAGGGGTGAGAGAGGGTCCTTCTGCCCACGGCTGACCTGAAAGGCAAAGACAGGGTGATGCGTGGTGCCCTGGTTCCCCTCTCCCTGCAGTTGCCCCATACCTGAGAGGAAGGGGAAAGTCCAGCCTGCCTGGGGTATTCCTTATTTTGCATTGACAAATGCAAGGGGCCATTTGGAGGGGGCTGGAGGCAGAGAGTTTGGCTCAGTGCAGTGAGAAATCACCCCCTGCTCCCCATTCACCTGTGAATTGCACCAGAACAAAGACTCTGGTTCTTAAGCAAGCCTTGACCATCTTCCCACCAATTTCGTCTCTCCTCGCAGGAGGCCGTGGCTCAGGGTTTCCAGAGGGAGCTCGAGCTCTACGGGAAACCAGAAAGCTACTTCATCCAGCTGCCCAAGATGCTGCAGCAGAAGAGAGACTGGCTGGTCCAGAGCCTGGATGCTGTGGGGATGAAACCCATTGTCCCCGAGGGCACCTACTTCTTGGTGGCAGACATCTCCGAGTTCAGTGAGTCAGGCAGCTGTGGTTTTGCTCAGGCAGAGCTGAGTATGGGGGGCCCAGCTCAGAGTGGCACCACTGGCAGGGACGGGAACCTGCATAAACCACCACCAAAGCAGGAAGGGACAATAGCGTGTTCCTCATCTAAGCTCCCAGAGGTCACAGATTTGGGGCTTGGCTGAGGCACCCAGCAGCAGCCCCCACCTCCACCCTGCTGTGCTTCTCCTGCAGAATCTGATGTCCCTGATGTCCCAGACTCTGATGACCCCTACGACTCCAGATTTGCAAAGTGGATGGTCAAGAACAAGGTAAATGCATCAGGCCCTTTCCGCTGCGTTTGCCTCGGGTGGGTTTGTGCCCTCCCTGCTGGCTGCACTCATGGGAGCCAGCAGCACACCACCATTGCAGGTCAGCAGCTCATGGCCACAGGGTGCTCAGGGTGTGTGGCAGCAGCTGGTCTCCACCCCAGCAGCCTGAGCTCAAGCAGAGAGAGCAGACAGGGCACCAAGGGCATCTACAAGCCCATTCGAAAGACTTGTGAGCAATAGGTGGACAGGTTCACCCACGCCAGGCCAAGAGGAATAACCTCAGCTCCACGTGTTTTCCTTTCCCAGGGACTTGCTGCCATCCCGCTCTCTGCTTTCTACTGCGAGTCCCACAAGAACAACTACAACCATTTCATCCGGTTCTGCTTCGCAAAGGTGAGATACGTGGCAGCACGAAGGGAGGTGAGGTTGAGGGTAAATGATCTCATTTAATGAGATGAAGAAATGCAGAGAATGTGATTGTTATATAAATGATGCCCGCAGTGAGGGGAAAGGAGATTTGTCTGGAAGCCACTGACCAAACCTGTGGTATTTGTTTAGGAGGAAGCTACACTGAAAGCAGCAAATGACATATTGCAAAAATGGAAACGTGAGAAAACCAGTCCCTGAGCACATTGGAGAGAAAACCAGGCTCTCCTTTGTCATCCATGACGACTGCTCTTCTTCCCCTTCCTTTACTTGGCTACAGACTTTGATACATCCTTATTTTTGTGCTTTCAACCACATTTTCTATCAGACAAATGGGTAAGAGATTTGCCAGGCTGAGGACCTAGGGGACACTTTCTGTCACTGTGAAATGATTGCGCTGTTCCTTACAAGAAGTGAGTCTTTGCACGCCCTGCCAGTATTCAACATTTCTTCTTCTTAAGTTTAAAGACTTTGCTAATCAGTTCTGGGATGCATCCAGCGAGACACAAGGTAAGGATGGCTCCTGGGGACTTTTCCACCACCAAATTCTGAAAAGGTACTTCAGGACCTACTTTTAAGGCCGTGCTGAGGGGTTACTGTGGCTTATCATCCCCACTCATGTACCCCAGGGTGCAGGACAGCGTTTCCACCAGCTCCCACATTCCCCCTGGGACTGTGCAGTATCACCACTCATCAGCAGGTTGATTCCTATGATCCTGAAAATTACAAACCCAATGAGATGCTGTTTCCCGTAATTAACAATTTTCCTCTTGTTTGTTTGTTTGTTTTTCTGTGCACCTCTGGGGAAAGTGACCGCAGAATTGGTAACTTGCTCCCCCAAGGAACTGAGCATTCATAAATAGCCCAGTTAATGCCAAACCTTCCCTGTGCACCCTCAAACCACCCCTGGGACTTTGTCAGGGTGTGGCAGCATTGCCCAGGCTGCAAAGGCAAAGCTTCAGGCCTTTGACAAGTGCACGCAGTGGCCGGGGATGAAGGGGACAGTGGCCTTGGGCTGCTCCCGCTGCTGGTGGCACCTGCAACCTCCCACCCACTGGGCTGGTGGGGCAACACAAGCAGCATTTTGAAAGGTAATTCTTGCGTCATTCTCGATTTCAACCTGGATAAGAACATAAACCAGCATCATCAGTCACGCAGGAGTTACGTGCGACAGACTGTGCGATAAGTATTTGTGGTAGCTAAATTATTAAAGATGATTTACTGCAATTATTGAAAAGTAGATGTCTCTGTAATGATTGTAGAAGTGACACAGCCCTCCTGGAGAGCTGCCATCACCCGTGTGACATCCGCAGCAGCTCTGCAGGGCTTGTGTGGGGGGTGGCAGCTGGGGGTACCGATCCCCACGGAGCCAGAGCTGCACCGACCCGGGGAGACAGGGAGACAAACACCCACCTCCTGCCTTCGCCCATGGGAGATGTGTCCTGTCCTGGGTGGGTGAGGGTGCTGCTGAAGGCCCTTTTGCACCCACGCTGGGAGAGCTGCGATCACCGGAGCAGATAAACGACCATGAGATTAGATTATTACCATAAATAGTAATTGCAACATCCCCAGGTGTGTGGGCTCTTGCTCTAGGCCACGACACACCCCACAAGAGGCATCCCCCCATCCTCCAACACAAGCCGAGCCCCACCGCGCCCTTCCGCAGGTCACCCATCCGCCCTGAGAACCAGGCAGTCCCTGCTTAGCTTCCCCGCCCGCGCGGGAGATTTAACCGCTGTCCCGCCCACTGCCTGCCCATTGGCTCACGTGACGCAGGCCTCCGCCCCT